AAACAAATCAAGTACACTTGGCAGAGAGGGATCCACAAACCCACAAACTCCAGGCAATTGTTGACTGGAGGGAAGGAGAGCAGGCCACTTATACACAACCCCCTGGTGCTGAGCAACCAATGTAGGATACACCTTTTTAGTTTTTTTTGTTTGATCAAACACACAAACAAGGAATCCACACATGGTAAAGAGCTCAAGCACACTTAGCAGAGAGGAACCCACAAACACACACACTCCCGGTAATTGCTAACTGGAGGGAAGGAGAGCAGGCCACTTAGGGCTTGTTTGACATGTGAGACAAGGGGATTTGGAAGATGGGTTAGGGAATAAAAGTCTACAAAACCCAGCAAACCTATGTATGACAACTAAACTTATAGTCCAAGTTATCAAGCTCAGTCTACTTTAGGCCCGCAGTTTAAACCCAAGCTCACGAGTTTTATGAAACCCGGTGGTAGATGGGTTTCAGATAGGAGTTAAAGGGTTGAACATACAAAATAACATTTATACCCCATATACCCAATATAACCCTATTCACAGATCTCTATGTTGGAACTAACCTACGATCAACACAATCTTTTGGGATATCAATTGAGTTGCAAAAATCTTAGAGAAATATGTGGGAAAGACCGAAAGGGAGAGGGAGGACAATTGTCCTCTTCGCTGGAAACGATTGAAGAAATCAACAGGGAAGCTTGATTGTAGAGAGATTCGCACAAGATTGTCCTCTTCTCTGCCATCGATAGAAGAAAAACAATGGTGAGGGATAAAGTTGCAGAGATATCCTTCGCCCTATCAAGTCAATCTTGGTTCGGAGATGCTCCGGTTGCCCTATATAAACCCCTCCTGTTGTTTGATTGAAATACATCTAAGCCGAGGTAATTCTTCGTATGTCTCAGTTTAATTCTTCTCTTCTTCTCACAATTCGAGGGCTAGGGTGGGGTGGTTGTCTGGAATGTTGTGAAATTTATTTTTTGTTTTTGTTATTGATAATATCTTCGACTTAATTTTGTTCTCCATTTTTTCATTTCACCTTGGTCTTAATGTTGCAGTTTTGCATTTACATTGACGATTTGTGAGGGCTGGGTTGGGAGTGGTTGTTTGTACTGAACAGTGCATTGGAGATTTGGAGGTTAGTGGAAAAAATTTGTGAAATTTGGTTTTTGTTCATAGCTTCATTTCGACATGTTTTGATTATTCTGCATTCATGTTTTGATTATTCTGCATTCATGTTTTGTGGAAAAACCCTAGCCTTTCCCTTCATAACAGAAAACCAAAGGCTCTACATAAATTTAAGCAAGGAGTAGTTTATGCTTAACTTACAGCCTAATTTCTTCAACGAAATCCCAGAATTTCAAAACTTTCCCAGGGATATCGAAAACTTTGTTTGAGTTTAAGTTAACTTGGATCAGCCACTTCTTCCCTGCCAGAAAAAGAACAAAAATCATATCAATAAGCCACCTCTGCATCCAAATTTACTTGAAATGCATCACCAAATTTACATAACAGAGAGAGCACAAGAGTACCGCCTTCTCGACCTCAAGTTAAAAACAATGAAAACAGATGAGTTTATCTAAAAAATGAAGAGAAATGAAGAGCTGTTCGATAATAACTACAACAACAAAAAAAAAAAAACCAACAAGCCAAGTGAAGTTCACATAGAAGATTTATCACACATGGAGATTTCCCTTTTGGTTTTTGGTGCTTTTCTCTTTTTCAGAACTCCAACGATTCATACAATTTTTTCATTAATGAATTCTCAACCTTATACTGGATCATAACTCCAACTTAAGTTTGTGTGTAAAATGGTGGCTAAACAGGTTTTGTATTAGTCCAAGTCGTAGGCTAAATCCTGTATTATATGTTGGGTATTTTTCTTTGGGTTAAAAGATTTTGGTTTCATAGGGTATATGTTGAATCCATAAGAAAATGCTCATTTGCGAACATGTTCAAGGCAAAAAATGCTAAACCTGCACAAAGGTTTATACTTGATCATAACTGTTTTTACCTTGCAAAATTAGAGAGCTCATTCTAAGAACCTAAATGACTTTATGTGATTTTAGAAAAATTTATGGTCTACTGTGATTAAGCTCGCATGGGCTATAGGTTTTTAGGCTTGTTTATTATAAATTTTCAAAAAGAAAAAAAAAAAAGTGGACGGATGGGCTTCTTTGTAACAGCTAGTTGGTTCTTTAAGTATTGTTAAAATCCAATTAATCAAAGAATACCTTCTATATGTATTGAGTAAACATTTATGAGGTCATGCTTACCTTTTTCTTCTTCCTCTCCATTTTTATCCTAAAATGGAAGATACAGCTGCAGTAAAGAGACATGTATGGGATCAAGCTTACCTTTTTCTTTTTTTTCCTCTCCATTTTAATTCGACTTTCTTGCCTCTTTGGATTATTATTTTAATTATAGTAGGATAAACCGTACAATTCATCTTAATCATATTAGATTTAACACATTTAATCTTAAAATTGTTCAACATTTCGCGTAAAGGACGAGTTTTACTTAAATTGACCGTGTTTCTCGAGACGTTTTTGAGTTATATATGCATCATCATCATCGAATTGGGTGATATCATTATGTGATATCACGATATGACTTTAAAACTTTTTTCATGTTTAATTTTTATGTCTATTGTTTTGCACAGATAGCCCAATATGTTACTTCTTATCTGTGTTAGTGCCATAAAAAACTGATGACCAATACTGTGATATTCAACGATATTGATCGTATACTCCAATATGCGTCTAGCAAATGATCATAACCTTGTGTTGAATTGACTTCCTTGAGGAACTGAACTGGTTGTAGGAATGGTCCCATGGTCCTTCATGCATTGTGATTTGGCAAAAAACATAGTATTTTATTGAATCCCATGTCAATTATTGAGCAGATAAACACCACCAACTCTTAGCTTTAATTAGGTGAGATACCAATATCTGCTTTCAAATTGAAAACTCCAATGCCGATTGATTAAAATTTTCATATGTACTAGGTTGTTTAACTCAAATCCTTTTACGCCCTTTTTGTCCTAACACGTTAAGTTAAGAATTGACTTGTAATTGTGAAGGTACGAGTACATATGAAATTTTTTCAGATGCATGGGTTTTATTTTTGCTACAAGATTGGTATTTGTAGTAGGAGTTTCATGTATGTGGTGGTCATTTGAACACATGGACATACATAGAGAAACTGTGTAGTTAATGTTTTTGGAAAATTATTTTGTAATTATTAATTTTGATATGCTGGAGATTTTTGTAGTCTTATTTCAATGAATATGGCTCGTAAACATGACAATGTAGCAGTTATGGTTGTTTGTCTTAATAATTTAGTAAGAGAGTTCGTCATTGTTTGTACTTATATTTTGATGGTTATGATAACATTATGGGCAAATGAAAAAAGAAAGACACGAGTATTTACTAGGTCAGTTGATAGCTTTTGTGCACAAAGTAAGCCTCTTCATAGGCTTATCGGAGAAAGCGATAGAACATGTTAGGGTAAAAGTGCCCCTCCTACACCAAGGCAGATATAGGAAGAGGAAGGGGTGGACATTAACTGATGTATTGTGCATTTGTGGGCAAGACATGAAATTTATCTACGTATTGCCCGGGTGAGAGGGGTCTGCTGCTGATTCTAGGGTATTGCGCAATGCTATCACATGACATAATGGGTTGAAGGGGGAATGTGGTAAGGTCAAAAATTTTTTTTAAAGATATTTTGTGACTTGGTTAGTTTCTTCAAGAATTAAGTTTTATTCAATTATGTGCACTTGTAGGTACACATTATGTTGTGGATGCTAGGTACACAAATGGAGAAGGTTTATTGGCTCCATTTCGTGGCCAGCGATACCACTTGCAAGAGTTTGCCGACGGTGCCGTAGCTCCAAAAAAACACGCACGAGTATTTCAATTTGAGGCATGCAACAACGAGGAATGTCATAAAAAGGTGTTTCGGGCTACTTAAAATGTGATGCGCTATCCTTAGGACGATGTGTTTTTACCCAGTAGCAACGCACAACAAAATCATTGTTGCTTGTTGTTTACTACATAGTCTTATTAGGAACGAGATAGAATATGATCCGGTGGAGAAAGAGTTGGATGATCATCCATTTGAAGATGAGAATGTGAATGATAATAACATAATCAACAGCGTTGAAACTTCGCATGGTTGGACTGCGTGGCGTGATCAACTAGCGCCATACATGTACAATGACTGGAGGAGTAATAGGGTACCTCGATGTTAGTTTATACAAATTGTTGCATGTTTTTAGTGAATTACTTTCGCCTCCTGTTTGTTTTTTTGGTTAACTTCTATTCCATGCAAGTAAAGGTATTAGTGAATGTTTTGTGTGTATATAAAAGTCTTTAAAGCTTCTTGAAATCATATTTTGTGGGCAAATTTAACTTAATTATAGGCGTACATATGGATTTAATGCTATTTTTAGTGGTGACATGGCAAGTGTCGGGAGTTTGCAGCTTAGGAGAAGTTTCTAGTTTGATAAGGGTCCGAGACGAATGTGGATAGTGTTCGAAGAATCGTTGCTTATAAATGCACTGAAAGAAATTTTCTATTCGGGTTGGAAATCCCAAAACGGTGCTTTCAAATCAGGCTATTTGCACCACTTAGAGAAGACTTTGTCAGATGCACTAAGCGGAATTGACCTACGTGCCACACCACACATTGAGTTGAAGATTACAAACTGGAAGAAAACCTACAACACACTCTTCACAATGCTTTGCACGTCAGGGTTCAGGTGGAACGACGTAGAACAAAATATAGATGTTGAAGGGGACGACGTTTGGGCTGAGTATGTCAAGGTACTTACTTCCAAACTCAACTACTATCGTCCTTAAGTCATTCACTAACGACTTATTGTTTTCCAGAAAGACCGCAATGCGAAAGGAATGTGTGAGAAAAACTAACCTTACTATAATGGCAAGAGCATAATTTTTGGCAAAGACCGTGCAACGAGCGAGTATGCCAAAGATTTAGAAGAGATGGTTGGGGGTGATGATGCGGGAGTTCAGGTGCATGATACTAAGGATGCCGCAGACGTTGATGTAAACATGGTACACTCTGGAATGTCTAAAAGCATGCCTCAACACGGTGTGGTTGGACAGGGGACACACCTACAAGCCGTAAACAATGGAGGAAGACAACTGGTGAAGCATCTGATGGAATTGCACGCAGTATAAGTAAAATGACAGACATACTTGATGACTATGTGTCAAGTTGTGGAAAACAACTCTCAGACATTGCTCAGAGGGTCGATTATGAGCAAGATACTGCTGAGGCGAGGCACCAACTGAACGTAGAATTGGCAAAAATTAATTGCCTAATGATGGATCACCGACATAGGACAGTTTACAACATTACTAGTGACCCGATTAAGGTGGACCTTTTCATGAGCTTGCTAAAAAGTGAGAGGCTAGAATGACTTCTTGGAGTGCTTGGGGGTAATGCATTTGTGATGGAAAATTAGTACTTATCCTTAGTCGCCTGTTTTGGAATCTTTTCAACGATGTTAAGTCTTCTCCTCTTCATTGTCGTTCCTATGTTGTGTGTGAAAGTGATATTTAGACAGTGTAGACATATCATTTGGCTGTTGGTGTCATGAAAATGTATTTCTTTATGCTTATTATGCTTTGGGTATTTTAATGTTTATGTTTTAAAATTATAGTGAATTCCTTGTGTCATTTACATTTCATAATAGTCACGACTTCAATACCAGGAATAAAAATGGGGTTTGAAGAAGAAATGTTATGTTGTGTTTAATGGCCACAGGATAGGAATTGTTGATATTTGGCAAGAATGCCACGACCTTTTCATTGGATATTTTGGCATTTTGTACAAATTGTTTTTGTCATACGTAGCTGCACAAGAGGCCTTAGCAGAACACGTTTCTGCTGTAGTGATGAACCAAAATAAAAATGCAATGCATACACAGGAAGACAATATTGTGAATGATCCATGGCCCACTGGAGCACGTGAACGAATTCTCATGCCACACGAAATGTTTGGAAGAAAACTCCCCAGAAATTCTACCAGGCCCACAAAATGGAATTATGTTCATTGCTGTAGCATTCATATTGAGTTCATAATTTGCAATATTTTGACCTCATTTGTGGAAAATTTTGTTTGACCAAACGATCATGTGCGATGATCATGTACCCATGTGAAATTTTCCTCATGAACTTATGCTATGTTTGTAATTTATGCATTTAATTTTATGGATTGGTATCAGTAAACTAAAGTACAAATTTTTGTTACGTTATTAACTAATTTTTTGCGCATTCATTTTGTAATGAATATTATTATCAGACTATGGTTAAAAGAAATGTGGCAATTAAAGCTAACTAGGGATGTTAAACGTGTCTGGTTAAATGGTTACATGTTGGGTTAAACGGGTGACGGGTGAAAAACATGTAAACCCATACACGACATGTTTAATAAACGGGTAAAAAATAGAAACACGAACACAAATCGTTTAATAAACAAGTAACACGAGTCGTCTAACACGTCTAATTTTACGATTTGGTTTGGGTTGGGTCGGGTTAACACGGTAAATCACTCGTTTGACCCATTTACTTGTTTACCACTTGTTTGACCTATTAAACACGGTAAACCACCCGTTTGACCCATTTATCTATTTATTTAAAAATGTTATATAACTTTATAAAACTAACAAACTAACACAAATAAGTGTGATATTTAGAGATATCACACTATATTATAAGGTACAAAGTACAATCCAAATAGCCAAATTTCACCAACAATCATATTATAAACTACAATCCCAAACAACCACAAATTCCATGATTCACAAAATCCTGTGAAAGAGATCAAATCTCCACCTCCACGACAACGAGTAGATTCAACAACCAAATTCCCATGCTCGACACAAATTAAAATGAAATATTATATAACATTAATAATTAAATAGACTCATAACTAGATAACTAACAAAAACTTAACATTACCTCTTTTTAGTCATGATCAATGATAGATATAGAATTAGAACATTGACCGAATATAACTTTATTAGACTTCATATGTTAATTAAAAACATCATTATCTATTTTTCCTTCTGAATCGTCACTAGAATCATCTACAACTAACCACAGCAAAATATAAATGAATCAATGATCACATGAATTAGGATAATGAGAAAAATAATACTAGTAAAATGGAATCAAAATTATTGCTCTTCCCATGAATCCAATATCTAGTACAAATTAAAGCTTGGACAGTTTCTGGCAAAAGTGAGCTTCGATACTTATTCAAAACTCTACCACCGGTACTAAATGTAGATTTAGATGCAACTATTGAAATAAGAATTGTCATCACATCACAAGCCAATTGAGACAATATAGGATGCCGAAACTGCTCTCCTTTCCAAAAGGTTAGATTATCCACTTCCTTCTTTCGATCAAGCTTTTTTTCATTAAAATACAACTGCAACTCAATCACTCGAGAAACATGATAATCTTCTTCTTCACATTTTTCAAAATCCTATATTTTGTACAAAATCATTACGAATATACAATAAACTACCTTGATCACATTCAATTTAAACAAACTAAATTATATTTTACCTGGAAAAGGCTTTCGGAATCATCAAGGTCATGAATCTTGCTAACTTGTTTCTCACTACTTGAAGTACTTGGAACAACATGTGACAACTTGACAGAGTACAATTCAAAAAACTCAAATAAAGTATCTTGAACACACTTGAACTCATAGGAATCACTACCATAAAGTTTTGAATAAGCCCAATCTATAAACTGAATTTTGTACTGAGGATCTAAGATGATAGCAATTGAAAGAATCAAACTATGCTTTGACTAATGCTTGTCAAACTTGGCATACATATGACTTTCCATTATCCTCATAAAACTATCATTGTCTGTCTGTGACTCCTTCAAAGTATGTTGAATTAAGAACACTTGGGGGAAGGACAAATTAGCCGTGGGATATGTTGTACCAGAGAATAAGCAAGAACTTTAAAAAACACCCTCAACAAATTAGAAATCTTTTCTATTTTGCTCCATTCTTCTTGGGAAGAACAAAGTCTATAATTAGAATCACTCAATTGTAAATGAATAAATGCACAACGATAAAAAAGTGCACTGTTAAGCATAATATAAGTTGAATTTCACCTAGTTGGAATATCTCCTTGCAAACCTTTTTTACTCACTAATGAAATTTGAGTAACACGATCCATGAACTTCTTTTTCCTTCCCGATGAACTTTTAACATATTTGATGCTTTCTCAAATTTTTATCACTGATTCATCAATTTCTTTAAGGCCATCTTAGACTATCAAATTAGGAATATGTGCACAACACCGAACATGGAAGAATTCACCATCCCTCAAGAGAACAGAACATTTTTAAGGTTAAGTTAACTCTTCAACAACTCAACAAAACAATCATTACTAAAAGCATTATCCAAAGTCAAAGAAAATATTTTTTTTTTCAATTTGTCAATCAATCAAAAATGTATAAATTTTCTCAAATAAGACAATACCAGTGTGGGGAGGGTGCATGAGACAAAAGTTTTAAATTTTTTTTCTGCAACTTCCAATCTAGATCAACATAATGAGTTGTGAAAGAAACATATCCATCAGTCGATATAGAAGTCCACAAATTAGATGTCAAACAAATTCTTCCAGGAAGAGAACCCAACACAATTTTAAGTTTATCTTTCTCTCTCTTATACATTTTTAACACATCTGACTTTGCAGTATTCCTAGAAGGCATCTTGATATTCTCATAAGCATACTTGAACATTGCTCTAATACTCTCATATTTGACAAATAGAAATGATAAATCATGCTTAAGTATTGCCTCAATCGCTAACTCACGAAACTTTTCAGGATCAAATTTTGTGGATCGCATTAGCATAGATCCTTGACCTTGACTTAGAAGTAATTGTCCAATATTCCTGGTGTCTTTTTCACACATTTTTCCATGTGAGTATGCATGTTACCAGTTTCATGACTAGACTCACATATATATTTGATACCACAAATATTGCATGCAACAAGTTTCTTTTCATCTGGATATTTTTCATTTAATTCTATAAAATATTTTCATACTATTGAAGTCTTTTGTCGTTTATGATTAGATTTATCTTTTTTTGTAGTTATACCAGTTGATGTTTGTGTTGTTGGAGCTACAATTACATTAGATTCATGCCCGACCTGATCTTCTTAATCAAAAATTATAATATTGTGTTCGAAAGAATCCATCTATTTAAGGCAAAAAAAAAGAGTTAAACTGATATCACCCATAACACACACAACACACAATGGACTGTGACTTTTACTTACACTAAATGTTTTGAATTTTACTTATATAAAGAAAAGATCTATGTTGGACTATGACAACATAATTGACATAAGCAATAAGACTAGTGAACAGATGAGAAGAAAGACAGAAGCAATTCAAATTCGTTTCTTTGTTTAGCTACCAAAAGACTTCATAAAAAAAGTCCTGATAGTTACCAAAAGACTTCAGCTATCAAAAGACTGCATGAAATTTCGTTTCTTTGTCCATTTTGAACACAATCAAAATTTTGAACACAAGTTATTTTGAACACAGTCCATTACGAACACATAAATAACTGCATAAATAACAAAGATGGGTAAAAGACTGCATAAATAACAAACACAGTTACCAAAAGACTACAAAAATAACAAAGACTTCATCAAATTTCGAACACAGTTGAATAAATTCTGCCGTTTGGTTTATGAGGATACCGATCTAATAACAAAGACTGCATAAATTTTGAACATAGTCGAATAACAAAGATACAAAGATTCAAAGACTGCATAAATTTGAACACAGTCTTATACCCATCTAATACAAATCTAAATACAAATTTACCGTGGTCAGAGACACAAGCTTCGGTTTAGCGTAGATACGATTAAGATTAACCATTCGGTTCAGTGTAGTCCAAACACAGATTTAAATACAATTAACAAATTCAAGCTTGGAGAAAGAGAGAGAAAGAGAAAGAAAGAGAAAGAATGGAGGGTCTGAACCTGGAGGCTGGAGGCTGGAGGTGCAACAGTCAAACACCAAAAGCTTTAGCCGTAAATGCAATTAGATTAGAGTTGGGAAAAATAGCTTTATATATTTTTTGTGTTTCTGTCATTAAAATAAAAAATTTGGTTACTTTTTTTAAAATAATTATTAATTTATTAATTTTATTTAAACAGGTAAACGAGTTACAAATGGGTTGACATGTTTTACTCGAACGCGACCTGTTTGTTAAATGGGTTGACCCGTTTATGACCCGAACCCATTAAGGTCTCACCCAAACCTGTTTAATCTATGTCGATTCGTGTCGGTTAATTGTGTCGTGTTGAATTTTGATAGGCCTAAGGCAGACACAAGATAAAAAAGATGTTCTGTTGGATTGCCTTATGGA